CTCTCTCTCTCTCTCTCTCTCTCTCTCTCTCTCTCTCTCTCTCTCTCTCTCTCTCTCTCTCTCTCCCCCTTGTGGAAACATTTTCTCAGCGACGTTGACTCACGACCTTATGTGCTGTCTTATTATTTAGATGGAACCCGCCATTGCAACAGCCGCCAATGCTGGAGAGACCAACATCATGGAAACAAAAACCATTGTAAGTGGTCTTTCGCCTGGAAGTGAGGTCAACGAAACGACAGTTCATCAGCAGACGAGCGGCGGGGGCACAACAACTGCTGCATGTGGAGAGGTGTTCGCCACAATTCATATGGAAACTGAGCAGATGCTTGCTGACGTGGATGACAATGATAGCGGTGCATGAGGGAACAGCGTTGAGATAGAGGTGGGTGGAGAGAGAAACGAGGAAGATGTTGGCAGCGAGGGTCCTCACAGTGGATGCATTGTCACAGATGCAAATGTGAGAAAGACAATGGCAGGAGATAGATACCCGAACGATGTGAATTGGGTGCCAGGTCGTGTTCAACCAGATATCGTTGGAGGTGTGCATTGCTTTGCTTTCAAGGTTGTTGATCAGTGGGTTGCTGTTCCTGCCCCAAAGAAAGAGACATGGCGTAACGTATGTCTGTCATTTATCTATGACAGAGTGTTGAGGCTGAATGATGGGGCACCGACTGACGATGCAAGCCGATACGCATTGGAGATGTACCATGTTCTACAGGCAAAGGGTGAGTTGCGGCTAAACGATTTCCTATATGACAACTTTGACTGGGTGTTGGGTGACCAGCAACGCAGGGGGGGGACGCCAGTCAGCTAGGACGACGCATGGTGCCATCTGCAATCCCATTTGGATACGACCGTGTTAAGATGCAAGTGCGTGATATGATGGGCAATGTGTGGAGCACGCATTACGTGAACGACATGTTTTCCTTCCGTCATTTCGACAGAGAAGCGATTATAGACGAAAAGGAGGCGGTGACATGCCGGCCGCGCGATGCACGCATCTTCGACCCGCCAATTGGCAATCCTGTCGAGTTGGCCCTGGCTGAAGGAACGGTGTTTGGTGGTGAGAAGAGCATCACATATGTCCACGTAAGGGGAAAAGAAGCCACATTTGATGACATCTGTATGGACGTATGGGACCATGTGGCAATGCGGAAGGATGTGGTTGCAACCAGTAACATTGTGGCCCATGTGATTCAAGAAGGGCACTTGTACCAGCATGTGGGTCGTGACATGTACGGGTACCATGTGAATTGGGTACCTGGTACTTAACATCCAGCAGTTGTTGATGGCAAAGTGATACTGGCAGCAAGAATGCAATGTGGTGAGTGGCTGCCTTTGGGTTGGATGCATGCTGGCGTTGTGGAGCATTGACAGTTCTTGGTGGTGGTGACACGTGTCTCCGTTTGCAATCCTCATGTGAAGGACCGGGGATTGCTGGAGGAACACGCGCAGCGTTGCTGGGAGAAGATAAGGGAGGAAGAACGGCAGATGGTGTGCATGGGATATGACTCCCATAATGACCAGGCGATGTGGTCGATCGTGGAAGACTCGTACACCGAGCAAGCGCGGCCCTCGATAGATGGAATGTTTCTGGAGGCCGTTCGACGTAGACATGGGTGCACATCACTTCTTGGGTGGGTCCCTGTCGTCTGTCCCATGACATATGACCATGGTGAACAAATGTGCATGAGATTCAGAGACCCGCTGGGTGTCCCTTTCCAACTCACCTACATAGATGGACTGCTGCGGCACATTCAATACGTGGGTGATGACGACGCTCGTGCTGCATCGAATGGACAACCAACAATAGAGCAGCAGCATGACATTTCACATTTGGCAAGTCAGGTCGATGGCCCGGAAACAGCAAATGATGGGGGATGTTTTAATGCAGAACCCGACGATGGTGACACCCCTGCGGAGCACATGACAGGGAGGGCAGAGAAGAAGAAGAAGCTGTGCACATCTAGGCCACCTCGTGAACCTGGGAGTTCAACAAAAGCAAAAGGCAAACAAAAAGATGTCCCTGATCGAGGTCAGACTTCCGAAGCAGCTGCTGGCCCGGTTCAAAAGCGCGGGCGACCCGCAGGGATGGCAGCATTGGCAGAAATTCGGCAACTCCAACGATCTACTCACTTGTGCATCGCTTTGAGGCCGTTCATGAGGGTCGTGCGCGAGATTGTTGAGAAAGAAATCGCACCAGGGCAATCTATCAGGTTTCAGATGAACGCCATACGTGTGTTGCTAGAAGCGACCGAAGCATATCTCATCAACCATTTCGAGAGAACAAACATCATTGCTATCCACTGCAAGAGGGTGACGATCCTGCTGAAAGACCTGAGGCTGGTTGATAACTTGGCCAAGGCTCGCTGGGAATACAAATATGAAGGCATTATCGACGAGCAGAAGAGAGCGGAAAAGCTACGGCAGATGAATGCTGCAAGGCAGGTCACGAGGGAAACGCAGGCGGGGAGGGGGGTGTCTGAGAAGACAGCAGCAACACGCAAAGGCGGTGATAATCCAGCGGGGTCGTCGAAGAGGAAAGGAGCGCCGTGCAAAGGCAATCCAGCAAAGAAAAGCATGGCACGCAAATAAGAACACAGTGAAGACTGCGCTGAAGCCAGTTCGCACAAACACAAATATAATGTGTATGAGTGTGTAGGTGCGGTGTTGACTCAATACTCAGCGACGCTGTGTGCTCACTGTTGTGTGCTGTGTAGTGTAGTGTGCTGTGTGCTGTGTAGTGTGCTGTGTGCTGTGTAGTGTGTTGTGTGCTGTGTAGTGTGTAGTGTGCTGTGTGTTGTGTAGTGTGTTGTGTTGTGTGCTGTGTAGTGTGTTGTGTAGTGTGTGTGTGTGTGTGTTGTGTAGTGTGTGTGTGCTGTGTGTGTGCTGTGTGCTGTGTTGTAGTGCTGTGTAGTGTGCTGTGTGTTGTGTTGTAGTGTGTTGTGTGCTGTAGTGCTGTGTAGTGTGCTGTCTCCTGTTGTGTTGTGTAGTGTGTTGTGTAGTGTGCTGTAGTGTGTTGTGTGTTGTGTGCTGTGTAATGTGCTGTAGTGTTGTGTAGTGTGTTGTGTAGTGTGTGTGGGTGTGCTGTATAGTGTGCTGTGTAGTGTGTGTGTGTGGTGTGTGTGTGCTGTGAGCTGTGTGTGTGAGTGTGTGTGCTGTGTGGTGTGTGTGTGTTGTGTGTTGTGTGTGCTGTGTGCTGAGTGTAGTGTGCGTGTGATGTGTGTGTGCTATGTGTTGTGTGTGTGTGCTGTGTGCTGTACAGTAACCCGTAGGGTTAGATTCGTAACTTTATTTGGCTGAGGGCTAACCGCCAACCTGCCTGTGAGGAAATTCGTGAGGCACAGATCTGTATATCCGGAAAAATACAGGCCAGGTACTAACCGAATTCGTACAACTACCCTAACTGCCTATAGCAGGCCCGGGCTACCCCTACGACAGACAGGCCCTACATAGCCTATGCTGCTAGACGGTCCTATAGCCCATAACCGGGTCTGGTAGAGGCCGAGAGGCCGAAGCAGCAACGGTACCGGTCGGTCAGTCAGTTCGGTCTAGATCTAGAGAGTAGATAGATAGGATAGGCCCACCGGGTGAGCACTTTTGGCCGGGCTGGACCGAGGCTCTACAGTGGTGGTTTGTTGGGTGGTGGCAGCCATAGCTGCCTGTTCCTTCGTCAGAGTTATCCATCGACACTGAAGACTTTATCGCAGGACCTGTTCTTCATCAGGGTGGTTGGCGCTGGCCTTTGGGAGGCTGTTCTCATGCAGCGCTACTAACTGGGTGTAGGATAGAGAGTGGGGTGTGAGTACTGAGTGTGGCGACATACTGGAACAAACTCTGTTACGATAATTGTATGAGTTGCTCATCATCAGTGACCTTTCCAATTGTGATCTTCGCAGGTTCTTTCTTGTGATTGGTTGTTGGGAGTTGTGTCAGAGAGTGAAATACCCATTTCGTAAAAAATGAACTTTTTGTCAAAAAGTAAACTATTTCGACTGCGAATAAACACTCAGTACATGGCCCAATAGGGCATCATGCGACACTTTACATGGTCAGTATATAAGGTGTTGAAATGACAAATGTTGCGGCGGGGCGTTTTGAGCCCTTCATACATGAATAGTCGTTATTAAATGCGAATTAACACAATGTAAAAAAGGGTAGGGGCTCTTTGTATGACACCTTGACAATGTTGTCCTGGCTTAGTGTTGCTGTGACGGATTGTACACGATTCAAAAGGGCATCGTGTTGGGTATGTGGTGCCTGTTTTCCATAAAAGGTCAGGGGTCCGACGCCCAATACCTTGCAAGTTGATGGACTGAACTTGTCAACTATGGTCGGGCGGAACACCCAGCCTGGTGCACGACATTTGGCAAGTTGAACCCACAACCCGTCAGTACCCCTGCAACAATTGTGTCCACCATTTATCTTCCCGGAAGGACCTCCTTCTCCGGTTGACAAATAGTAGTTGAACAGTGTCACCGAATGATTCGGGAGTTAGTGGTTTACGACAGAGCACCTTAAGGAAGTGGCAGACAGTCGTTCGCTCTCGATGTCGATTGCCAATAGCACTGTTAGGGGGCCTTGATGCTGGTTCCTGATCTGTTTAGCGATCGAGCAGCTTGAAGAAGTGTGAAAGAGTCATTGGTTGTCTGTGTGGATTGTCATTAGCACTCTTAGGGAATCTTGATGCGAGATCTGATTCCGGGTCGAGAGAGAGAGAGAGAGAGAGAGAGAGAGAGAGAGAGAGAGAGAGAGAGAGAGAGAGA